ATTTTCTCTCCTCATGATTTCTTTTTTTTTTTTTTTTATTTTTTTGTCAAGGAATCACTTGACTAAATGAACTAAATTTCTGATGAAGTAGGGACCATCTACGGCATTCTATATGCAAACAAACATCGGATGTCTATTGCCCTAGAGCTGGTAATAATAAATGGTCTCAACTTCCCTGTAAAGAAAGAAAAAAAGTGATTTTAGGAAAACTCTTTTCCTATTAGACTGCACAATATAAGTGAATCAATGGAAAAGAAGTGAACTGTATATATTTCTTTTAAAGCAATGCTGAGTGAGAGTAGTTACTCTCTAATTCAGAAACCCTTTATTTCAAATATTCAGTCCAGTGACTGCAGATAGGGAAATAATAATTTGCAGATCAGAATATCTGAATCAAAATTAAGCTTGATTAGCACTTCTGTATAAACACACACAAAGACACACATAGAAACTTCTACAGAAAAAGTGTTTCAGGAAATAATTTCAGTTTTTCAAAAACTGAGATGGAATATCCTTCATAAATGTGAATTTACATTGTACCCAACAATATAGGGAACTCCTGGCTTTACGGTTGGGTTGAATAGGTAGACAAGCTATAGCACAGTGCTGTTGCATGAAGGAGAAGCTTTTAGAGTGCTAACCGATATGATAAATTCAACTTTGTCAAACTGTTCAGGTTACTGCTTACAATTTCTATGACAAGGTAATCAATTTTAGATAATGTGACATGATATGATAATCATTTTCCACATGAATATTTCTACAAGCAGAACTTCTACTCTGTGATAAATTCTATAGAATGTGTTAAAGCAACTTGAACTAGCGTCAGGCACTGAATGAAGACAGGACTGGGTGTCTGGAATATGTTTCATCCTCTCTTTCTTCAAATAATCAGAATTAAAAATCGGAAGCAGCTACTTTAAAGTCAGTTTAACTCTTTAAAGAGTTTCAGAGTCAGACACCTCTGACAGACAATTCATTTTCGATATCTTAAATATCCACAAGAGGACTAGCTAAAGCATTCAAGAGTATATTTTTTCTCCATATAGACAATTAAGGGAGGCTGGGATGGATATCCTAGTCTTGGATGTTGAATATTTCAATAGATGGAAGACATTTTACAACTTTGATCTTTCCTAGGACTTTGGTATTTAGCATAACTCTATTAAAGATCACAGGGATCTCAATTTTGAAAGGTATAACTGCTCTTGACTAACTGCTCAAAATTACTCTTAAATGCCAAGACCAAAGCTACAGCAAACCCGAAGTGACACCCAGTAGTGGAGCTGTCACAAATGTAATTTGTGATTCTGTATTTACAGTGATAAGCCCCATACTCAGAAACATATCCTTTAAAAATATCTGAAATAGATTAAAAATGTAAAGAATCAGAAAAGAAAAGGAAGAAAAGAAAAAGTAAGTATCATAAAAAAAATGAACATCAGTTCTAAAAATTGCTGGCTTTCAAAGACCAAGAAAATCTTACTCTATGGAGAAAACACGGCACTAAAATAGCAATGTTCTATGTAGAATAATCTTTTGAGTTTATCCAAATAGTTTTAGCAAAACAGTCATTAGCAGTGATAAGAACTATTTAAACGTCTGCATTATCTTTTATTTACAGATAAGGGTTTTGACAAGTGACGCATCTCCATTTCGCACAAAGAGGTCTAAGTGACTTAGTGATGTTAGCCAGGGTGGTCAAGGTCCATTCCTCATAACCCATGACACTTTAGTAAGATTCCTAAATTAGAAACCCACTTGCTCATGGCTGTATCTACAGGCAATGGAAAGATACAGGCACCTTCAAAGAGTGTTTCAGCCCAGTTAAAACCCAAAGCTCTCTTGAATGCATTTGTCTCTCAGTTGAATCGATAATGAGTATTGGGAAACCAGTCATGTAACTAACTCTAATAGGGAGCATTAATCCAGGTCACCATCTATGGAAGAACACCACTTTGTTATAATGATGAAATTGCTCTGTTTTGTTGAAACACAGTGAGATTTGGACTAAAGTGTCAGGGAATATGGTAGATGATGCATTACAGCTAAGGATTAGAATGCGTTAAGTCTCACAAGAAAACGTGATGGGGATGGTAAGGGTGGGAGAGGTCAAATATTAAAAATCTTACCTCCCCATTCAAGAAACAATAGAGAACAGCAACAACAAAACCCTGGATAAATGGGAGAGAAAAAACTGTAATTCAAATCCTTCAGGAAATGCCAGAAAATAGCTGGAGTTTAAAGAAACAAACAAAACCAAAATCCTAGTCTACAAAGCATATGCATATGTGAATAGACACATAGTCTGAAAACTATGCATGCAAAGTGGTCATAATGAATACATATTTATTTTTAACAAAAGCAGAATTCACTGTATAATCACCTGGAAAGATCCCAGTCCCAATTCAAACACTAGTCTCTCCCGCTTACTGACATTTTCAGGAGAAAAAGCAAACACCGTGTAGTGAATTCCAAACAAGGGGATAAGCAGTAGCGTAGAACGAGCCAGTCTCCTGTTACAATAGAGTGAAAGAACTTTAATGCAGCCTTGTAATAAACAACTTTAATTAAAGAACACCCAACAAATATTTTCCTGCCTCCCAGTTGTTAAATATATGCATTATATACTTATACATACAAATTAACAACATTCCCATTTGCTCACAAACAATGATTTTACACACACTGCGGTTTTCACCTACTTCTTCATAATCATGCAATAATAGTGCAAAGCAGCATATTAATAATGTTTAGTACTCTGCATTGCTGTTTTGGTTTGCATTATTATTAGCCAGGATTTATTGTACAGTGCCAGACACAAGGATGGAAATTTTTGGTATGGGATTCAAACTGCTACCAGAGCATGATAATAACCTCCTTACCTAATTGGTTAGTCTCAATGGAGTGCCTGGAATTACCTTTTTTTGTGAATATATTTCTTTATTGAACAAACAAACAAACAAAAAACGCCACAGAATAGCACCGAAGACGGAAAAACCTGTATGCTCTTTAAGTCATGATTACTCCCCAAGGTCTTGCTTTTGGCTTCATTTACACAATTGAAATTTAAGTGTAGTTCCATTATATAACTAATTTCCATTGCATCAGAATAAAGGGTGGTTGGGAGGGAAATCAGATCCCATGAGTCTAGACAAAAGGGCTGGAAACATCTCTCTGTACCTTTAAGCAGTAACTAAATATCAACAATATTCAACAAAAGGAGGGTTCCAACAAAGGATTTATGTATCAGCTTCGATCAATGATGTCGCTTACTGATCAGGTAGCAGAAAAGACCCAAGAGAAAAAAAAAAAACACTGAATGAGGCAATTGCTTTATTATAACAAAGTGGCCTAAGGACAAGTGGCCTTCTTGGACACTTTCAAATGGGGGAAAAAAAAGTGACCGAGTCCCTTTAGGTGAGTTAAGAAAATAGATGGAGGTCAGAGAAAGCTGAAACTCTGCAAAGACTTATGGAAGAGGTCTCTGTTATTTCAATTCAAAAATTTCAGTCTGCTTATGTTATATGGAATACAGGTTTTAATTTGTTCATTACATACCCAACTGGAATTCAATGAAATTGCAGGCTTAATTAATACACCTCCAAGAAGTCTGTGAGTATATCCAACAGTAAACATTAGCTCCTTGCTGGTGGCCCTCAGTTATGCATTGCACACTGATAGTGATAAACACAGAGGAACTCTTGTCCTTAGACAGCACTAAATGTCATATGATGCATTTGTGTGATGCACACCAAATCTCAAATCTCAAGTCAAAAACCAGAGGACTAATATTTCTTAAGAATTTAGACATTAATCAAATGTGTTTTTTTTTTAATTTTGTTTTGTTAGAAGAAAGAGGGTGAAAAATAAACTCTTAGAACAGGTTGATAAGGAGCATACAGAATCGCCAACTTTGTTGATCTCTAGAAAAAGTGTTATAGTACTGAGACAAAGGCATGGGTTTAAAAGACCCATGAAGATTTATTTTAGTCTTTTTCTCTATAGACAAGTTACTAAATGGATAAAAAAAAAAACAGAAAATTTGTGGAAAAGATTATAAAACAATCTCCATTAGCAAAAAGGTACTCAAGGCACACAGCAGTGTTTTAAACTAGCCATCAATTACAAAGAAATCAAGTGAGGCAGTAAATGGGACAAAGAAATATCATTTCTCAAAATCAGTGACCCTGTATATACATTTTGATTGACAAATCAGAAAATAATTGCTCATTCAGATGGTGTATTTCACCTCAGCCATAGAGGATCTGCTTTTCTTAGTGCCATTTTTTCTGAAGTAATCATATCCGATTATTTATACAATTAGTTTGCAGCATCTTTATGTCATCCTCAACTTATTTGACCTATTGTCTTTATCATTGTCATAAAAGTTATCAAGAAAATACAGAAAAAGTATAAAAAAGCACACCCTGAAAATTATAGATGTATAATATCTACAGTATCTATGAGGAGGAAAAAGTTATAGGTAAGAATGGTAAGAAAAACTTTAGAGGCTATTAAGGTTTGTGTGAATGACAATGAATTATGGTTTTTTTTTTTTTTTTTTTTCCTCCTCAAGAATACTAAATTCTAGGTGGGGAAAAAAGAGGATTTAAAGCAGCAGCTGTGAGACAAGAAAAATTACATGCAATGGTGAAATTAAGATGTTGAAGCTGAGAATTAATTGAGATTCTCAGCTGTGGAACATAGATACCCATCCTCCTACTTAACACATTCTGTAGGACAAACAAGGAACTAGGGAACCTACCCAACAACCTCTCAACTGAGCTTAAAACGGCTGTTTAGAAAAGACATGTTCTTCAAGAGGCAAAGTAAAAAATCATATTTACATTCCACTGAGGAGAGGAATGTCTCAGGTTTACTTTACAAAAGTAAGGCATTTTCCAAAATATATTGAAAATGATTCAATTATTTTCCCGCTTTTTTCCTCTAAAATGGTTTAAAAATGAATTTCCCTCCAATAAAATGACTGTATAAGTCATTCTCAACCTTTCAGAAAATATTAATCTAAAAAAAATATAGATAATAATGTCCTCTGTTTTGACATACTTCTCTTTTGAAGATGTTCTGCTAGCCAATATAAATTACGGAAAAACACCTTGCAATAAAAGGTAATAGAAAATAGAAGAGTCCTACAACTTTTAAAACATTGGTCCTCTACACCACAGGACCCATAGCCAAGGGAGCTAATGTATGAGGACACTTTTGGTTGTCATTCTTCTTCCTGTCTCTGAAAGAGAGGTGAAAATGAGAGTGTGATAAGGTTAATAGTTTACTCATGCTTCAGTACCAGCTAACCCCTCTGCACTGTAGATGTATCTTGTGCCATTTCTCCTGAGCCTGTGGCTGCTTCTATCAGACTAATCAGAAAATAAGCTTAACCAAAGCAGTGGTAGGTCATGTATAAGTTTTGATGAGTGCTGTTAAAATAAAGATAAAATACAGAATAATTTTTACTCTGTCGAAGAGTTTTTCACCTTGGGTTTAGAGGTTCTTACATCTATGTATCTATGAGATGAAATACCATAGACTGAAAGAATGCAGAAGACTTAGAAAGTCATAGGTTTTGAAGGAATATGCAGTTATTATTATCTGGGTCTGCTTCATTGAAATAAGAGAATGGTTCATTTTAAATGCTGAGGTGGAATTAATTTGATTGAATATATATATTAACTCCACATCAACACTTGTTTTATTGTCAATGAAGAAAAACAGGCATAATGCATCTATTTTATCTAGAAGATTCTAATCATAGTTAGCATGTGACTTTCAAGAAACTCAGTTGCTCCCCTGACATATACATTCCCAATCCAAAATATTAATTAGATGTGTAGATGTGTAATTTTGAAGAGTTGAGGTAATATCTAAACTTCTAAACATCTAAACAGATTTTAAAAGCTGTTCAGGCTTATTGAGATCTTTATTCTTTGACACACACAAAAAAATGAAGCTTAATTTATGGATTTATGGGATGGCATACAAGTAGTTGGTTTTTTTTTGTTTTCGTTTTTTGGCTTCCTGATGAAGTTGAAGACAGCTTACAATTGACTACAGAGAAGATTTCACTTACAAAAGTTTTCAGACTGAAATCCTTGTAAAACACTACATTTATTTAGCAGGAAAATAATTTTACTGCAAAGACACTGTAAGCAGGTTCTGCTGTATCAGGATGAAGATTAAGTGGTAAACTTCATATTTAAAAGATTCTCTTCCTAAAGTTAGGTCTGATTTTTCATGACTGGTAAAGAGATTCTAGTGTTTGAGCTTCTCTTGTCTTAGAAAATTGACTTTCTGACTATTGTTTTCTTTGTTGTCTGTTTCTTCTATCTGCTATTGCACAATGTCAATCTGTTGGCTGCATCTTCTGACACCTTCACTATACCGTAGTGACAAAATCACAGAAGAAGGGTATTTTCATGATCTTGTAGGTCTTTAATATGTGCAATCAAACATAATAAAATAAGTAACATTGAGTTATTTCAACATTTTCTTTTTTTTTTCTTTAATAGTTACAAATGTAACTATACATTATTCTCTAGCAAAATGCTATACTTGTGGATTGATAGAGCAGGACCTCTTTGAGAATAGTGATCTTCCCTCAGAAGACTGTCATAAAATGCAAAAGAAATTTCAGCAGAGAACATAGAATCTAAGAGATTTCTGAGAGCTACATGCCTAAGCTAATCCCGTGGACATCTTGTACAAGTAACCAAGTGGTATGCAGTATGATAAAGGGATTAATTCATAAACATCCAAACTATTAGTTCACTTTTTTGATTCTTCACTCTCCATGGGCATTGATTTCAAACTAGATATTCATCATTTAAATACTAGGCTAACCTCAGAGAGAACTGACTCATATGTTTTCCTCGTCCCTGGATATACACTGACACAACTGCATTCTGTTCAATGGATGTAAGTGTTCTACCCTGGATGAAAGTCTGATTCACCCACTCTTTCCCTACCACAATCATTCTAGCAAAATTTCTTGTAAAAAGTGTCATCGCTCAGTGTCACCAAAGCTCACCTCATTGCTGTGTAATTAGGAGTAATTATTAGCAGTTGTTATGCACATGTTGAAGGATATAAGCAAGTGATTCAAAAATCTGTACAAATCATTGAAAGACAGAAGGGATTACAATCCGAGCTGGAAACCACTATCTAAAACCATAAATAGCATCAGCAATAATTCATGAAATTTCACACAAAGAAACCTTAAAATTCTTGATCATGGCGCATCAGCAAAAGCATAAGAACAAAAAAATTCCACATGCAACAAGAACCAAGTGAATGCTTGCTCTCCAATTAATACCCCTCTGCTACTTCAAAATCATTTATTCGCAACATGCTTCATACAAACACAGTAATGTCACAGGATTGCGTACACTTACAGGGTAATGGTTGATAGTTCTGACATCTTGCAAGAATGCTGGTTAGCCCTCTTAGGCTTACAGTAGCATTTCTGAACGCAGCTGCTGAATATGACAAGATTAGCATTTTTTTTTTCAGCATATTGTGAACAGGCCAAGGTATGACAGTTTCAACACATTTATGAGACACATCACAGAGATAGAAAGCGGACATGATGGAATGAAATTATAGCACAAACCAGCTGCTTTATTGAAGCAAAAATGAGAAATAAATAATAATTAAAGAAAAAAAAAAAAGCATTGGATGTTACTGGCAATTGTGATGTGTTGATTCACAGACAAGCCAGAGACTGAACAACCTGGAGGCAGGTGGTCAGCCTTACGCATCAAAAATACACATGACTTTTGCAGTCTTATAGGGTACAGAGTGTAACAGATCAATATATTAAATGAAAGTTGACTACACAGTTGTGAAGGACAATTAAGTAGTAGTACAAACTCGTAGAATGGAAATTATTCTAAAATGGAGTTGGATTATAATTTCCTAATTTTTGTGTATAACATGTAAATAGCTTCTTTTTATTGGAGAGTGCTAGTATGGACACCAAAAGTGATTCTCAGCCCAGTTTCCTGCATATAAGGGAGATGATAGGAGTTCAGTATGAAAATTGGATGGCTAAGACCATTCTGCATGCTGTGTTATAGCAAGAACAGCCATGGAGAATGGAATCTTTACATTTACAGTTATCTGCCAAGAAGGGTAATCTTGTCATTTCACAAATACCTTTCTCAAATACCTTTAAGAAGGTCTTTCAAGGGACCTGAGGGACAGGAAGATAGAGATTTTGTGCATTTTTTGGTAGGCTGAAAACTGTATGGGAATTAAAAATGTTTCTTTCTTGTTGAAGTTTCTGGGAATAGTTCTTTCCTTTTCAAACACTTTTTTTTTTCTTTCCCCGCAGTAGGTTTCACCTTAGGGAAGACTGGATATCTACAGTATACATTTCTATTTGAGCCTGGTATCCTTGGAGGACTTTCAAGTCAGCAGAGAGAATAAGTCACCAAGAAAGAAATAAGACAGTTTTAAGGCAGGATATTTTAGATATCCACATTAGGACAGCACACCAAACTCCACTGACTACCTTGAGCAGATCTCCACTGCAGATTTTAAACACAATTGCCTACAAGGTAAATGTCTATGCAAATCATATTTTTTTTTTCTTTTGCACTGTCTATGATTTGAGTTCACTGAAGCAAATATGGAAAATGTATTTTATAAAGTAAACAATATAGTAGAAGGAATACAAAAAAAGTACTTCTCTTTACTGTTTAGTCTCTTAAGCCAATCCCAGTTACTAGAGTTTCTCTTTCTGTTTTGGGTAATGAAAAGCTGACAGCTATATTCTGAGTGTAAAATATTTATTAGAAATGGTATCATAAGACGTAAAATAATGCAACGTTGTGGGACATGCACACCCAACAAATAGAAGAAGTAATCACATTTCAACTTGTGAATGGAACTTCATTTCCTCAGGGTGATGCTTAGGTAGTTAATATGAAAATGACGGTGTTATTTTTTCAGAATCTCTTTTCCAACAATTTTTTTCCACTGTATCATATAACATGACTGATTTCACAGAGCCAAGCTGTGAATTATGACTGACCAAGAATAAAGATTGAAATTTTAGAAACATTTCCCTTGTACTTTGGCTGAGATTTTCAAAAAGGAAAGTAGAGTTTGAATACTTCACTCATTTTTTGATCACCTGAGTTGAAACACATTTTATCAGACTAATTTTTACCACAAGACTGATTCTCAGAATGTGCTGAGAAAAACAGTTGTTAAAATACTTTAAGTGACATAACCTGAAATACCTAAAAATCGATAGTCACTTTGAAAAATCCAGTCCTGGAGTACTTTAGGGGGTTGTTTTATCCTCTGCACATTTCCAGTGAGCAGAATGAACATGAACAGTGTTCACTTGCTTGCTATAATTATTTAAAGGGACAAATTTGATTCTGAAAATAATATCTGAGTTAACTGCTACTCCACAGCCAGTGAAAGAAGGTTCATATATTGGTGTGGTGAAAAGCTTCTGTAGCATTTCATAGAAATTTCATTGCTGCTCTATTGTTTTTTTTTTTTATTATTATTCCACCATCATATGTAATTGAAATAGAATTATTTTTCTCATGTTAGATATTATAAGGTGAACCAAAATGTTTAAAATACAGAACTGATAGAACTATTCCTTTTTTTTTTCTTTTTAAACAAAGCAGAGAGATTAAAAGAAAATGAAGAGAGCAGAGGCAGAGAAGGCAGAAATAAGAAAGAAATGGGAATGAAAGAAAAAAATAATGTAAATGTGGTTGTGGATGTCAAGACATTACATGAATTAGGGTAGGATCTTTAGTCCTCTGTAGGCACATACAGAATGGAACTGGTGACATCTAATATATCCATCTAAGAAGAAACTAAACTTTGTTGTCACCTTTAGCTCACTCAGCCGTGGAAAGAAGTGGGCATTTCCAGAGGCTGAGATGACCTATGTGACAGAGATGTCTAAGACATATGGGATGCATAGTCTAATGGAGGTGCCCAGGTCTCTTGGTTTGACCAATAGACGACGACTAGACTATTCAGATTCAATACGAGACTTTAGACAGCTAAAGGCAAACAAGCTGAGTCTCACCGCATGTGTCCTGTGCATGGACTGCAGCTGCCTCTGGGAGGAAGAGGGAGGGTGCTAGGGTGGAAGGGGAAAGAGAAAGTTAAATAGTCCCAGGATGAAATGAGTGATGCTTGATGTGGCTGAAGACCATCTTGTCAGATTGAACACCTAGACGTCCGGCAAGTTAGTACAAATAAGAGAGTTTAAAAAAAAAAAAAATGAGGCAAAGGTAGTTGCAATTCAATTGTACAGCATTTGTACGCTTGTCATAGGTGCTTAAAAGAGGTTAAATAAGCATGCCAATTCACAGGAATTAAGTTATTCTTTGTTACTAGGCCATGTAGGTTATAATGAAAAAGACCAAGGATCTGCATTTAGGTCATTGATAGTCCATAGGGAATGGCAGAGTTTGTGGGTTTTTTCAGAATATGCTGAAGGTAGAGCCTTAGGGAAGACACAACAAAGGCAGAACTTGTTTTGTGCAGATTAAAATTGTACCTCATTAGGAATCTTTTTGCACCCTGCTCAGACAATTCCCAATGAGCAACATTGGCAACTCATCATGGAATAAACATGCATCAGTAGGAGAAAGAATGTAGAGAAAACATATTGAAATAAAGTACTGAATATAAAGCAAAATATTAACCAAGGTGGAAGCAGAGAGAAAAAAATGCAGTTATGCTGTGTACTATTTATGCTATGTACTGCCTTACCTGTGGCTGGTATTTTATTAGTGGGGGAATTATTTTTCTTGGCACCCAATTTTAAGGATTTCCTGAAGTTAGCCTTGTCTTCTGGACAGAATGCAAACTTTTTTTTTACCAAAAACTTGGACTTGTAGATCAGATATAAACAGTTCACAAAATTGAACTCATATTTTGAGTAAGAAAAAAAAGTTGTGATAATTATACAAGTATATCCTGCCTCAACCTTAACGGTGTGCACTGATCCAATCCATAACTATATAACTATACTCCTGTCACTCATCTCTTATAGACACAGAATAAAAAGCATAGGTGCATCTCTCCAAAACATTAATTTAATTCTCATCTCATCTGACTGTGAAAGTCTATGATACAGATATTTATCTCCTATCTTGTCACTCCAAGTCTCCTTTGCAGTAGATATAAACAAACCAAAAAGTGAGAATCATCTGAACTTAAAAATGTTTAGCATGAAGTGAGTTGCACCAAGAACATTTTTTGCTAGAGGTGGTAGGTCTCTTCTGACAACAGAAGGAGCCCAATATGATTAGCTTACTTAATCAGTTGCATTCCACTCTGTCTTGTTAAAAGCACAAGCACTTTTTATTTCACTTCATAGAAGTGTCAACTCTATTTATCTACTGTTCAACTAAGAATAAACCCAAAACAAGTTTAGAACAAGACAACCCACATGTGAAATCTCCTTTACAGTTCTTGTCCAAAACTCATTAAAATGACTTAACTTTAACAGGTAATATACGCCTATTGCCTGACTTTGTGGTCTTTAAGTCTTTGAAGTCTGTTATACTTTTTGCCACCCTGTGCCACATGCTCTAGGTGTGCCTGCTTGAGCAGGAAGGTTGGACTAGATGATCTGTAGAGGTCCCTTCCAACCTTAAATATTCTGAAATATTCTGAAATACTGGTTTAAGACATTTAAGTCATTTTCTTTTTCTCTCTCTCTCTTGTTTGTTCTGAGTACATATCTACTACATAGATCAGTGGATCAGTTTTGGTTTCTTTTTTTTCAGTGATTTAGAAGAACAAATGAAGATCTGTACTTTTGGTATCTAAGTACTTGTAAAGTCAATGGACACTATCAAGATGAAAACCAAGATCTATGTGGAAAATCTGAGTTTTTTTATGATTTTTAAAAATTCCAATGTTATAGAAGATGTACAATATAATATTCTACATAAAATATTCTACATATTTTAATTCCACTAAACTTAGATTTATTTCATTGTAACTGAAATCTAGCATGGTAATTACATTTAGAATTTGACAAGGAAACCATCATCACCTCTGCAGAGGCAAAGGCTGTCTTATCACTTGCACTTCCAGACTATAGATACAGTTGAAAAAGAATATTTAATTAATATGGATTAAAACTGCAATCATTTTTTTTTCCAAAAATCCTGAGGTTTGCTCAGAACTGAAGCTTGAAGATGAGTGGTCAAGAAAAGCTGAAAACACAACTCTTCACTGGTCACTGGTTGCTTGTATGCATAAAATGGGCACACTAGGATGGGGAAAGCAATTCTTGTGTGCATAGATCAAAGAATTAAGAGATAAAAATTATTATTTGTTTGTATTCTAGAAAAGAAGGCTGTTGGTACAAAGAATAATTCAATAGAAGACCTATTTTCAGTGAACTGTCCTTTTAAATAAGCTACTTCTAATGAACTATAATATCAATGTTACATATACCCATCTTTCCCATATATTA